TTTTGTATGTTTTTCTGTACATCAAATCCAGGATAGGAAAATCTATATATAGAGTAACTGGATTAATGGTTTCTTAGGGTATGGTAGGAGAGGTGGTGGTAGAGGGAGTTAATAACAATGGTACAAAAAGAAAAAGTTCAAAATGGATGGTAGTGATGAGTACACAACTCATTTTTTAAACATTATTGAACTATTGCATTGTATGACACATGAATTATATGCTAATAAAACTAATTTTACAAAAGAAATCAAATGATGTATTGAATTGGGCAAATCTATATAAGGCCTCTTTGCAGACCAATGTGGGCTTGACTTATCCCATATAGTATTTCAATCACCTTACTTGCATTCAAAAGCTGGACAATTCACAAGGAAGACCAAAAAAGAATGAACATATTTGAATTATAGTGCTAGAGAACAATATTGAAAGTAAGTTAGATTGACAGAATACTAAGTAAGTGTGTCTTTAAGAAGTATAACCAGAATGCTACTTAGAAGGGTTGGCTGATGATGAAACTGCATTTCACATACTTGGACTATCTTATCAGTTGAGGCTACTCTCTGGAAAATTACATCATGTTTGCTATACTGCAGGGGTAGTGAAATAGGAAGACCTTTGACAGATTAACACAGTGGCTACAACAATTAGCTCACACATAATAACAATTGTAAGGATGGAGCAGGAGAGGACCATGTTTCATTCTATTGTGTATGTTTCCTATGATTTGACAGGCCCAACTTTCATTTGAATGAGTAGACTAAACAAAAAGGATGGAAGGAGAATTGCTATATTTGGATTGTTGTGCTGGTGGGGAATATCAGGAGTACCATGGCCTGCCCAGAGGAAGCCGTATGGCAAGATGTATGGCCTCTGCTCCGCGGCAAAGCAAGAGCAGTCCCCGGAAAAGGCCACCATGCTTGGTAAAGTGGAAGGGAAGCAAAAGAAAGGAAGGCACGCAAGGAGATGGCTTGGCACAGTGGCTCCAGAAATGGGTTCAAGCATGGGGAACTTTGTGAGGATGCCGCAGTGCTTCATTCGGTTGTACAGATGGTTGCTATAGCTTGGAAATGACTAACAACAACAGCATGAGTTGAAACTAACTTGAAGGCATCTTACAGTGTCAGTTCTTTTCTGTCCAATTTTCAGTGACTTTCAACCTGACCATGTAACAGACAATTTCCCAGTGCTATTGTGGTAGTTACATAATTTCATGTCAATGTAAAGACATATGAGGGGCACACACATGGAATTTAGTTTTCAAGGCTATGTATTTAATTTTTTTTTTAAAACGAAACAACCTTATCACCTTCAAAATACTCTCCATTTGTCAAATCTGTGATTCTATTCTTGGGGAACATTTTTCAAGCACATCTGTGTAGATGGCTGACAGCACTTCCCTCGTTTGCTTCTTCACCTCATCTAATCACCGTCCTCACATAAGCCTCTGCTTTTGCTGAAACAGGTAGCAGTCCCAGGAGTGAGGTCTGACGAGTAAGGTGCGTGGGGCAATGGAGGCATGTTGCATTTTTGGTTTTGTTTTTGCCAAAAATTGGCACACTGAGTTGGCTGCGTGAGGAGGTAGATTGCCTTGGTGGCAAAACCAGTCCCTTGTCTGCCTTAAATCAAGCATTTTTTGTCACACACTGTTATACAATCTTTTCAGAACCTCTAAATAGAAAGCTTGATTAACAATCGGACCTGATGGAACTAATGCATTACAAATCCACATTTCGTCTGTTAGGGCATTGGACTGACAGCCAGAAGGAGGTTTGTCATCGATTGACATTTCACCTTTTTTGAGATAAGAAAACCACTCATACACTTGAAATTTCCCATAGCGCTGTCCTTGTTAGCTGTGTTCAACATCATAAAAGCTTCTGCAGCATTTTTCTCTAGCAGGAAACAAAATTTCACAGCCGAGCTGCACACTGTTCTCTGAAATCTGCCACCACAAAAAAACGAGGCTCCAGTGAACCTACTTTTATGATCAAATTCACAGGGGTAGCTATTGAGAATATCATGGGCTATCATAAGAACAACTAAAACTCTTGGAAAAAGTTCGATCATATGGTTTCTTAGAAGCAAGTACGGCAAGATTTCATGTCACACAGTTTGGACCTTTGGCAAGGAGAAACCTGTCTCTGGAAAAGTATATTATACTTGGTAAATAAAGTAAAGGATTAGTGAAAAAGGGAAGGCCCTTCAATGAGCTGGATTGGTCATAAAGTGACTTCAACAATGGGCTCAAGCATAGCCACTAGTATCAGGATGAGGGGCCATCGGTCCTCATTCTCTGTACATAGGGACTCTGAGTACTAGCCTACTCCAAAGAACCTAACAAAAGTGGGAAGTCTATGCATTACTGAGGTGAATACTGAAGTATGTAGCTACCATGATGAAGGTATCCATTTCACCTCACACTTCTGTAGTAAAGTTTACTTCACGCATTTTGAAGCTCTCGTTATCACTTTGCCTTCCTTGTAAACTGATACTTTTATCATCATGTAATATCCCCACTGTTGTTAATTTTCTTTATACAGATGCTAATATGATCATTCCAGTCTTGTTTTGATTAATATTTTTATAGCATTAGTTTTTAAATTTCTTTTTAATATTAGCATCGTTGTATTTGTCTCGAAAGAAATGGTCAGTGTTACTCAGAGGCAAAATGGGGCAAATTTGTCTTCCACACTTTGCATACATTGTCAGATCTGACCAGGCCTTGGAGAAGGGCATCATGTTTGGTCAAGAAAGAGAGGAAGGAGATAGACTGACATCAGGGCTGCAGCAATGGGCTGAAGAATAGAAAAAACATGAGGCTGTCACAGGACTGGGCACTGTTTCATTCTGTTGTGCATAAGATCCCTATGGAGCAGAACTGACTTAATGGCACCTACCAACAATCTACCTTTCTATAGGAAGTGCCAATTTTTGTATACAGCATATGATAAATCTTACATTTTCAGCAAGATTTTATGTCACTGAACTTCACTGATTGGATTTTTAAGCTTTAAAAATTATTAGCTGTTTTCTGCATATTTTAAACGATTTTGAAGATAAGTCATAGTATTCAATACATACTTAAAGGCAACATATAACAGAAAGAACAGTAATTAAATCCTTTTTTGCCTAGAAAACTTCCTGAAATCGGGTCATAACAGTAAAACACTTGGATTCAGATGTTTTAAAAGCTTTCTGTCAAATATTCAGTAATCATTGATAAGCCAACTTACTCTTAAACAACATACAATGGGTACAGCTTTTATTTCTATGTTCTGACTTTTCAGATAACTCTGGCTAGGTTCAAAATCTGGCCACTCAGGGCTTCAGATCCCAAGATGTCTAAAGTCTCTGGGGAATCAAGCAAAACCTCATCAAACTTTTTGGCCAGTTATGTCCCACTATAATTAGACACTTGTGTATAACAGAAAATGTTTGCATCTTAGGCCATTTAGAATTTAGCCATGAAACGAGAGAAAACTGTGATTTAGTATAAAACTCGCACCAGGAAAGCAAAGCCATAAGAATATGGACTTTCTTATCCCAAATTAATTTCTACTGAGAAGGTTGCTCATGTATGAAGAATGGATATTTTTCATCCCAGCTTCTGCCCTCAACTTTCCAGTATCCAAGAAATGCCAGAGTGGGAGTGATGAAGTATTTAAAAACCTATGGACTTCTAATTGGTGAGTTAATCCTCACCCCGATGCCCCTCCCCGCCCCGTTATTTCATATCCCTATTGCGTAAGATTGTCATTTATTATTAGCTTGTTAGGAAACATATGCCTAAGAAAAATATGCTAGATCCCTTCCATGTATCATGTG